GAAGAAAAAAAAAAGAAAACAAACAGTATGTCACGCTTGGAGAAGAAGACAATAAAATTATATTGTCATGTTTTTTTTCTATCTCGTTTTTTATGGTTTTATTTAATTATCACCCGTTTTTTTTGTGTATTTCCTTTGTGTGCAGTTTGTTCTATTGTTTCTGCAATTACTGTTATTTGTTTTGAGAAATAAAACAATGCAATTATCAATTATTATCAATATCTATCATCATTATCATTATTATTAGGTTTAGCAGAAGTAGCATCAAAAACATTATCATTAGAACATTTTTAACTAAAATATTAACGCTAATAATAGTGATAGTAATAATAATAATAATAATAATAATAATAATAATAATATATATAATAATAACAAAAAAAATTAATAATAATGAAATATATAAATAATGATAATAAGAAGAATGGTGATGATGATGATGATGATGATGATGATGATAATAACAATAATAATAATGATACCAAAAGCATTATTTACAGTAATGACAATTAAGATAATAATAATTATTATTATAACAATAGCAATAACAATAATAATAATAACAATGATGACAAAGATAGTAATGGCCATAACAACAAAAACAACAATAATATGAACAATTACATTAATAAGAATATCTAATAAATTTAATTATATTAACAGTCAAACTGCAATAACAGAATCAATAACAATGATAATTATGATGATAAGAATATTGAACAGTAATAATGATTATCACCATGATCATTATTATCATCACCATCATCACCCTATTCATCAACACCATCCTCATCACCATCATCATATTCATCGCCATCATTATCACCATTTCCATCACCATCATCATCACCATCTTCACCATTATCATCATCATCATCACCTTCACAATAATGATGATTATTTTATTGTTATCATCAGCTTTATTCTCATCACAATCACTATAACTGTCATTATCACTAATATTCATAACAACAATAATGACAAGAACAAGAATTACATGAATGGTGATAACAACAACGGAAACATCAATAAGAATATAAGACATGATAATAATTATGATATTAATACTGATAATGATGATAAGGCTGACAGTAAAAATGGTGATAATAATAGCAATTATCATTGTTATTAACAACATTATCATTATTTATATCATAGCAATAAAAATAACAATAACAATAATGATAACAACAACAATAATAATGAGAATAATAATAACGATAACACTAACAACAGCATGCAATAATAATAATAATAATAATAATAATGATATGATATGATGATGATAATGATAATAATATAATAATAATAATAATAATAATAATAATAATAATAATAATAATAATAATAATAATAATAATAATAATAATAATAATAATAATAATAATAATAATAATAATAATAATAATAATAATAATAATAATAATAATAATAACAATGATAACAACAAGAACAATAATAACTATGATGATGATAATGAAAAAAATAATAGTAAATATAGTAGTAGTAATATAATAATGATAATAATAATAATAATAATAATAATAATAATAATAATAATAATAATAATAATAATAATAATAATAATAATAATAATAATAATAATAATAACAATAATTATAATAATAATAATAATAATAATAATAATAATAATAATAATAATAATAATAATAATAACAACAACAATAACAAAAAACAATAATAACAACATAATAATTAAAATTATAACAACAACAACAAAATAATAATAATGATAATAATATATGTATTAATTATTATATTATATTAATTATATCATTAATAATAATAATAATAAATTAATTAAATAATAATAATAATAATAATAATAATAATAATAATAATAATAATAATAACAATAATAACAACAATAATAATAATAATAATAATAATAATAATAATAATAATAATAATAATAATAATAATAATAATAATAATAATAATAATAATAATAATAATAATAAGTGAAATAACAACAACAACAATAACAATAATAATTATAATAATAATGATAATAATAATGAATAATAATAATAATAACAATAATAATATTAGTAATAATGATAATAATAAGGATAAGGATAATTGTAATGATGGTGATAGTAATTGTAATAATGACAATAATAATAATAATGATGATAATAAAAATAATAACAATAATAATAACAAACATTATAATGATAAAAATGATAACATTAACAACAATAACAATAATGATAATTATCATCATCATCATTACCATCAAGATATAGATGATAATGATTTGGTGAGGATGATAATAATTAACAATATCATGAGCATCATAATTATCATCATTAACTTCTTATTGTTATCATTCTCATTAATGTCATCATCATCACCATCATCATTATGTCATCATTATCATTCATTCATCATCACTATCATTACCATTACTATCATCATCATCATCATTATTATTACATTAATCATCACATCATCATCATTATCATTCATCATTCATTACCATTACTATCATCACCATCATCATCATCATCATCATTATCATTACCATTACTATCACCACCACCACCATCATCATCATCATCATCATCATCATCATCATTATCATTCTAACAACGCCATTTAAAACGAAAACAAGTACCCACATCGTATCGAACTGAAATCGATAAAAATGGTAAAGTACAAATCAGTAATAGGACTATTATCAGGTAAATGGTGATAACAGCGGCAGTTAAGATAATACTGACAACCCTGAATGTAAATAAAACATAACAATAACTCTTATCACTAATATAGCTAACTGGTAATAAGATATGTAACTATGATTTTATTAATATTCATAGTCTCTTTTATCTTTAGAAACACGAGCCAGACTGAAGAACTAAACAATAAAATACGTATTTGAATAAAAAAAGAAAAAATATATCCCATTACGGATCTCCATTCGCCCAAAAACATTCGAAAAACTACAAAATCATCGTACTATCGAGAACAGACACAAAAAAAAAATATGGAACTCCTCAAAAACAAAAGAAAAACAAAAACAAAACGAATGGAATTATACCAATCAGCCAATCTTGCGTGTGGTAGCAGAGTGGTATCAGATAACAAACCTGTCTAACATGACATGGGTCTGAAGACTGCTCATGGTACCAAAACCTTTTTTTTTTTATCTTTTGTCTACATTGAGACATTGACAAGGATAGGATACCTTTTAGAGATAAATATTTGTGTGACGGATGACAATAGTGATTACGGGTCGCGTTCCTATACCCTGGATAGGCCTATGGATCCTTGTTTTCTTTCTATCTCTCTCTTTATCTTTTCTTCTTTTTGCTTGTCTACTGAAACGGTTGTTTACGTTGAAAAATTAATCGTAGCGGACATCCCCAATTACTTGTTTCGTCTAAATTCCAACCATACTTTCAGTCTAAACGACGCAGACGGCTCCAACCCTTGGCACAGACAAACCCCTAATTTCATTGATCAACTTTAAAGGCGAAACAAAAAAGAAAGAAAGATGTCGAAATCGATTTTTTATTTATACCTCGAAGACTCTTTACCTTAACAAAACCTCTACCTGTCCCGTCCTTGATCATTATAACGGGGTTTGGATATCTCCGATTCAACTTGGCCGACCCCCAACCTTCAGCAAAGCGGCAGGAACACCCGCGTTCGAATTACAGCGGCGAAAAGGGACGATTTCCACATAGGCAAACACCCCGGGGCGCCGTGCACACAGAGATCCGACCATCCTGAGGTACTTACCAACTATTTCCATGGTGGTCTTATCGGGGTCTTCAGGTGGTGTGTCGCGACTGACTCAGAGCTGGTTTAAGCGATGACTCACTCGCGAAGATTCCGACACTCGTCTCAAAAGTTCCCATTCGCACACTTTCCCTCGCGGTATATCAGCCTTCTTAGGCACCCCACCACGCGATCAAGTCCACGTTTATTTCATCTACATCAAGGCAGACGCCATGCTCCGCGCCGCAGGGCCATGACACCCTAAAGATACCGTAGCTTCACATGCAGAACCACCGATTCATACTATATGACTAATGTTGTTCTGGCAATGTTGATGGCTGTAAAAATTCGTTTATATTCTACGGATTCGCGAGCTGCTCCATTGTATTTAGGGACCGGGTCCCCGTAGGCGGTTATGGGGAATTTTCGGCCGTTTGAAAATGAAGGTTAAAGTGGCGGTATAAAAATAGCGAGCGCGAAATTAAGAGTCTCGTGAAGGTGTGATGTGAAGACCAGAGAGAGAGACGAGTTCTCAGCATCCGTCTCTCTTTGCACGATCTATTGTTTCCTTTGGCTTATGCACTGGCGCCATTTTTCCCGTTAAATGCCTTCGTCTTTAAATCGCCCCTTGCTTTTGCTGGGCTATGGTCACTCGTTCTGCACTTAGTGTTCGGGATTTAGCATGAAATATATATCAAGCTCTGAGGTCGGTGACAGAGCAAAAAAAAAAAAAAAAAAAAAAAAAAAGCTCGTACTTCAAGGCTCTCGATCATACATTTGTTAAAGTAGAATGGAGAATTATTCAACTCTTCCTTTCGACAGTGACTCGTTAAATCTATATTATTCTAGCAAGGGGGAAAGTCTTCTCGATTTACGAAGTGAAAGAAAATGAAAGATATTCCTAGTTTTGCGGCAATATTTTTAGCCAATCGCATCGCTCGTTAGAAGTTCCCTATGACGTCACCAAGAGCCAATGGCATACCACGTCTTTCCGAAGTTGATACCCACCGTTTCATCTAATATTGGTTAATTCGTAGTGTGAGTGTGCATTTCCCTCGCTTATAATATGAACAAAAACGTGTCAGCACAAGTATTTGACATTGGGCAAATGAAAATAGAAACACAAGGATTTCCGTGATGCGCAGAACTACAAGCCTAAAGCATTGTCATTTCACATTTTTCATGAGAATAAAGTTGAAATACAACTCTGAGAGAAGTTCATTAAAAAAGAATATATCTGTAATCTAATCCTTTTCCAGATTTACAAATATATAGTGGTAATTCTCAAGATATACCTTACGCCCGTTATCAGTCGTAAACAATGGAATTTTGAACGTTAATTTTTGTGGACGACAAACAAGAATGCTTTAATTTAATCGTTGCTATTTATGTCAGCGGATGATATGGGCAGCGTGGCTTCATTTAAACTGTGATCATGGCTGGGGATTCTTCTCCCAGGTCAAACCTATGTTAAAAGGTGGAAAATGGCAAAATATTGTGGTATTGTTCTTTGTTGTGTTATATTTGCGCGAGTATTTATGAATTTTAACTGCTATGGCATTCTGTTCAGAGAAATTATGGAAATGTAGGTGTGTAAGAGGTTGTACAGGCTGCAGTAATATGTGAATAAGAATTATCTTTAGCAGGAGGAAAACTACATCAGATACGCATTATTAGTAATAAAATAAAACTTTGAATTTAAGTAACGAAATAAAACTTTGGATTTGGATCTATCGACTGAGTAAAGATTCTTTATCAGTAAAACAGAGCAATTATCCGTTCTATATAACCAGCCTGTTCGTTAATTATGAATGATGAAACTGCATGACCAAATAAAAAAATATGTAGAAGGTCCAATGAGTTGAGTAAATGCAACATTTCATTCTTTTACACTTAATCACTTTACTTGAATTTAGAATGATGTTCAGCAGTAGTATTGTACCTAAACAAATTGTATAATATTACTGTTTTAAGGAAACTATCTATAGTTCATGTTATTTATAATGTAAATATTATTCTTAACTTCCTCATTCTCGGAAGTCTCCATCGTTGTAACCACTTTCAGGTCGGTTAAATTTGGAAGAGATTCTTTATGCTTGTCAACTTTTTAGGGACTGAAGTTGAACCTTGTTCTACTGTCAGATGCATTATTCTCTCTCCATTTTTTATTGAATTTTTTTAATGTTTATGTTTGTTACCTTTTATTTAAAGTATGAGTGGATGTAGTATGTCTTTTCTGTTTATTTCTCTCATAGCTGGTTTCCTTTGGTGTGTAAAGTTTTAGACAATGCATTTGATGTTGAAGGATTATATTGTATCTCCCACACACTCACGTGCGTTCACATGCACACGAACATACACACACACATGCACATGCACATGTTTGCACACGCACACACATACTCATGCACTTATAAGCACATACATATATGCACTCATACGCACACACACATGCACTCATACGTAAACACATGCATGCACACAGACACACACGCATACACACGCACATCTACACACACACACATACACACACACACATCATACACACACAACACACGCACACACACACACACACACACACACACACACCACACACACACACACACACACACACACACACACACACACACACACACACACACACACACACACACACACACACACACACACACACACACACACACACACTCACTCACTGATGTCCTCTTATTTTTTTTCTCTCTCCTCTTATTGGTTCCCTTTTTCTTTTGTATTTACTGTGCCTAATTTTGTTGCTTGAATCCTTTACTCTTTCCTAGTTTATTTATTCTTTCAAAGGTCAGGGTTATCTTTTAATTATGTACACCATTTTACATTCAGTTGATATGTGTGAGCTTTATCTCTTCACTCAAATAAGCACTTTATTGCAGATAACCAAATATGGCTGGAATAATAGAAAGAATATTCCCAATCAATTCCAATCTTCAGATATTAGAAGACTACGTTGGATATAAGATGTCATCCGTTCCCTCATTATGTATTATTGGTCCTGCAAAGTCGTTGAAGACTTCTCTCCTGATGCAAGTAAGTTATGGGGATTTTTTAGAAAGATAGGGTTGATTTTTTTTTGCCTCCCTGATAGCAGTCTGTATTGTATATTTATAATTAATTTGTGATAATGAATGTGCATACTTTCTGTATTGTACTGTGTAACCTCTTTTATTTTTCTTCTTCTTCCTTTTCTTTCTTCTTTGCTTTCTTCTTCTTCTTCTATTTCTTTTTCCTCTTTCCTTAAACCCTATGTATTTTGCTGTACACAAACCCCCAAAAAATTTATATATATTTTTTTCCCCCATACCAGGCTGCAGTGACAGAGGGTGAAGTAGGAGGACAAGTACTGTTCATGGCTCCGCAGAAACTTGCACGTCTCCCTCCACCTGTCCATGGCATGCCTCCTCCCTCATCATCGGCTATGAACAACATTAGGTTCCTGTAAGTGTTATATTTTGTGAATGACACCCTTTCTCTTCCAGTTTTGAGTTTTGATATGTCTAATGGAATGGTTATTTCAGGTACGCTGATTGCACGACAGAACTATACAGGTATTTAGCATCCTTGCATATGGTTCCAGAGAAGGACAGGCCAAGTCTTATCATCATTGATGACCTTCACACCTACAGCACACTTCCAGAATGTGGGTAAGTGTCTTTACTATTGATATGTTATAAGTAGTAAGTATTATTGGTGCTGCTTAAGATAACGGTTAGAAATAAGGAGTTGTATGTTGTTGTTACAGTTTGTTTTATCAGTAATATTGTTAGTATCACAAGATCATAACATCATTTTGTAATATCTAACATATGATTAAAAAACCGTGTTTGATAGATTATTGTCAGTGGGCTAAACACAATATGAACTCTCAGAGCTATAAAGTTGACAGTAATTTTTGTCAATCTGACTTTTTTCGCCTCTGTTTTTAAGCGTGTTTCTAAAGATGGATCAAATAAGTATATTCCATGTGGTGGCTATTTTTACTCTTTTACACTGTAATTCATAATAGCAGAAATGTTTAGATATTTATTTTCTGCAGTTCCTTTACTGCATTTTCTTTTTACAGAGCACAGTTTATGATTAAATGATGAGAAATGTAAGTTTTAAACTTAATATCTATGCTCTTTTAGCTGCTGCTATACTAAATTACACTGTTTAAGTAGTCTTGTTTCAAGTAGTATGTTAAGTCAATTTAGATCAGTGTTTCCCAACCTGTCGAGAAAGGCCTGCCGGTGGTTTTCATGGAAACCCTCATATTGGGCAGTCAGTATTTTTTTAGTTCATAAAAAGCAGTTTGATCATTTTAGATAATGGAAGTAAACCTATCTTCACTTCCTAGTTTATTTATTTTTGCATCTGAGTACATTTAGATAATGTTTGTTTGAATTGCATGGTTAGATATTAATTGAGATTACCATCACTTAAATGATGGCATGAGTACTGTGCTGTCAGAAATTTAGAGTTGTAAACATTGGCCATAGTCTGAAATAGATAGGGAACTGCTGATCTAGACTTGCCTATTAGCTGTTCTTGATATTAATCGTTCAGATTAAGGAAGATCATAAACTTTGAGGAGACAAGGCAATTACCCACTCTGATAAAGTTGAAACAGACGGCCAAACGAACCCAAGCTAATACTGCCAAGGAGAGAAAGATGACATGCAAAGATAAGGAGAGGGTGAGGAGATCCTGAATCACCACTTTGGCAAGAGACACAACCCACCTTTCTTTACATCATGAAAAATTTTGAATGGAGGTCAATAAAATGGGGAATGCTTAGATCTTGATAAGAGAGTGGAGCTGCCAGGACATAACTTATTATATATCATCAGAGAGAATTTTGAAGTTTAATCAGTGACAGCTTGCCAAGCCCAAAGACAAGGTGTTTGCCACGAGTATTTTTACGGTCACTCTGTGGAGAGATTAGACTCTAGTTTGCTCTTGAACTGATGATTAAATTCTTCAGTTTTCTCTGATGTTTATTTTGGTTTGAAACAACTTGAGAAAGTTGTGATGAGAGGTGAACAAAGATTTTTGTCTGTCAGTAGTAGTAATATCTTTGCTTTCCCTTATTTTGGAATAACTCTGATACTTCCTTTCACTGGATTTCATGAATTTTCTGGTGGTGTTCTTAATTTATTGTTAAGCTATTTGAGTCAGATTATCCAACATGTTTTAAGCATTAGAAGACACTAGAGGTACAATTTGCCTTGTATCCGCACTATAGCTTTCTTAAAGATATGATATGCACATGCTTTAGGGATTAAGTATATTCGCTTTTTTAGCTTATCAATTCTATTATTAACCTTGCGCATAATATATCAAAAGTAGGCCCTGCAAGCAATTCTGTACATTGCAAAGTACTTTACTCAAATGTTTCTTTGTACCTCATTTCATGTAAATATGCCTGTAAAAAATGTACACTGACCCTGAGATATAAAAAAGCTTAATTGATGAAACTAGAAGAAATCTAATTTTTCTTTTTATATTCAAGCTAGGTAGAGAATAAGGAGGATCTACAGTAATAAGAGAGAGAGACCAAGATTATTCCTTTGCATTATTATCTTGGCATTATTCTTCCATAAACATTATCTCTTTCAGAGATGTTGCGACTCAGAAGGTCAATGCTGCGAGGATACTTTCCCTTGCACAAGAATCTGCAAGATATTGTAGCAGTAATGTTACGAGTGCTGATCATGGGGCAGGTGACTTACTTCGGCTCTTAATCCAGCTTGATGAATTTAAAAGAAATTTTGATATTACCTTGTTAAAATTTTTATAAACAAGAGAAAAATCTTGTCATCCAGAGATTTTACGTCATGGTGAGATTTGGCTTTTGGCTTCAACATAGTAGTAATCCTACTTTAGTTGATTTCCTTTTCTTTATCTTCCTTCTACCTTTTCCATTTTATTTTTTCATATGAAGTTTTTTCCCTTTTCTTCTATTTCTTTCCCTTTTTCTACCCATTGCCCATCTCTCTCTCTCTCTCTCCTCTCTCTTCTCTCTCTCTCTCTCTCTCTCTCTCTCTCTCTCTCTCTCTCTCTCTCTCTCTCTCTCTCTCTCTCTCTCTCTCTCTCTTTCTCTCTCTCTCTCTCTCTCTCTTCTCTCTCTCTTTCTCTCTCCTCTCTCTTTCTCTCTCTCTCTCTCTCTCTTTCTCTCTTTCTCTCTCTCTCTCTTTCTCTCTCTCTCTCTCTCTCTCTCTCTCTCTCTCTTTCCCTCTCTCTCTTTCCCTCTCTCTCTTTCCCTCTCTCTCCCTCCCTTCCTCCCCCCTTTCCCCTCCCCCTCCCTTCCTTCCTTCATATACTATTATTCCAATTCAGGAAACAATACTACAAGGCAGTGTAGTGTTTTAGCATCCTGGACGCAGTGGTCGTCTGACCCTCTAAAGCATGCCGAGTTAGAAAGCTTCGCTAGGACCTTCTGCCATCAGGTCTGGACTCTTCATGAGAACAAAAAGGTAGTCTAATGGAACCACTCCTCAACTGTCTAACAAAGATCAGAGTTACTTAATCAACATAGAGCAGTTCCTGGTTCATGTGACAGTATTTTGATCATGTTAGTCTATTGGTATTTATTCCCTGATGAACATTATGCTTTCAGAATGTTAATTAAATGGCATAAATTTGGAGTTACTCATTTTCATTCATACCCAGGTTTAACAATTGTCACAATGAATTTGTAAAGTGTTACTTTATCCAGATGAAGTCAAAATGTTCAAACGGATTTTTATTATTTGTTAAATTCAGTTATAGTACATGTTAGATTAATTCAGCTCATATTTTGTTTTCAGGGTAGCACTAAAAATACAGTAGAATACAATATGGTGCAAGAATTCTCAGGAGCAACGTTTACTATAAACTTTTCTGGTCACCATATTGGTCATAGATCCAATTACATTCTTTTTCATGAATTTACACTTGAGGAGGAGGTAGAGGAGCAGGAAATAAAGAAGGAAGAGGAGGAAGAGGCAATAAAGAAGGAAGAGGAGGAAGAAGAGAGTAAGGCAATAAAGAAGGAAGAGGAAGAAGAAGAGCATAAGGCAATAAAGAAGGAAGTGGAGGAGGAAGAGAAGAAGAAGATGAAGGAGCAAGGAAAAGCAAGCAAAGGTGAAACGTCGAAATGTACTGAAAGGGAAAAGCCTTATCAATCTACATAATACAATAGTATGTAATTCCTTAAAACTTTATCATTTGACAAATATTATGATCAGAATTTATGATGGAGGTAATATATTTTTGTATATATTTTTATATATCAATACATTTACGGATTAATTTTGTAGAATGTTATGGGAAGTGCATAACACTTATGTTATAGGGCTGTTGAGAAATTTGGCCTTTCACTTTTTTTTATAGCAGTAGAGGATATATTTATATGAAAATGTATGAATTTTATTTTCCTTTATAGATGTATTTGGGTATGTATTCAGAGTTATTAGTACATAAAATACATATGTATATGTATAATGTATATGTATATGATATATATGTATATATATATATATATATATATATATATATATATATATATATATATATATATATATATATATATATATATATATATATATATATATAATGTATATATATGTATATGTATATGTGTGAGTGTGTTTGTAATGTATGTATATAAATCTATTTATATGAATACATGTATTTTTCTTTCTTTTTCCTCGTTTTTATATATGGTAAATAAGTAATAATTTGTTATTTTGATTTTTTTATTCAATCATCAGGTTTTACATCACTGTTAAATACATTAGATGATGTAAATAAACAACCCACAAATGCAAATGTATAATCTTAGTTATAGTATTATATTAACCCCATACAGACAGGGATGGCATGTCCACTGGGTAATTATTTTTACATATAGATGGCTCCACATGTACTAGGTCACCAATGAGCCAGTACCTGTCTCACCTGTTTACCCTTTTCCTTGATTTGTTATATTTTCTGGTATATAATAATACTGTAATGTCAATAACAATATAGTAATTACAAGGCATATAATAAAAAAATAACTATCAATATTGATAGCATTAGTTAAAAAGGAAAGGTGAGGTCACAGGATCTACTAATTGACTCCTTTGTGGGTAAGCACCGACAGAGCCAGCTGTATGCAAAGACATTTAACATAACTACACTAAAGTGAACGCAACATTTTCCCGGCGGCATTGGGTTAAGCTAAAATCTGACAAAAAATGATGCAGAATTGATTTACTGAAAGATGGAGACAAAAGTTTAGACATTTTCCAATCAACAATAATGCTTTCTAATGTATAATGTAGTCTTATGACAATTTTATCAATGCTAGAGGAGTTTGTTTCTCATGTTAAAATCTTTCCATATCTTCTTTCATGGTGAAATTTCTACAGGGATGTTTCGCCATCATGAATATCAGCAGTGGTTGAGAACCTCCGTACTGTGGGGTGGCTGCAGACACAGAAGAAGAATATGGTTTATCATCAGAAAAATTGATTTAAGAAGTAAAAGTATTAATTATTTAGGCATCATTGGAAACTGAAGAAAACTGAACGTGTATGTGCATTCATACAGGCATGTGTATCTATGCATTACAGAAACAGGATGACCAGGACTTGCCTTCTGGGGTAGCTCCTGAAGTTAATGGCATCAGGGTCATCACTATCCGAGTCCATTGTGACTGGGGAGGGACGGCGTTCATACAAGATATCTTCGTCTGGTTGATGCCTAGTTATACCCTCATCGTCTATAAAAGCAGCATTAAAGTAACTGCCAGCCCTGTTGTCTTTATCCAGTTCTGAAAAGCATGTATATTTGAATATTCCCATGTGAAAATAATATTCAAAGACATTCAGTAAACGCACTAAATAAGCTAATAGAGTTTGGGCACAAGTATTACATTCCAGATGTCAATTGTATAAAGATCATCGGAAAAAAATTAAAGGGAACTCCTAGATGTCTATGACAGAAAAACATAAGACTGTATTTCTATTATTTCTTTCATTATTACTTCAAATATTATTTTTACGAAGACAAATGGACAGTAGGGAAGTGTTTAAAAGCAGTGATGATTTGATAACGGTGGAAGATATCCAACATGGCTTTTATTATACTGGACCAAGACTCATCACCTGCTTCCAGACCAAGCACAGCAGAATCAAGTATTATCCTGTCTGGTACATATTCTTGGTATCCATGGAAGTCCTGAAAGCAAGTACATGTGAGCATGATACAGAAAGGATTCATAAAGATATAAATGACATATGCGCCTGTTTGTTTCTTTAAATTATGTATCTATACAAAATTTAAAATCCATAACAACAAAAAATGAGCAAATACAGCATAAAGGTCCAAAGTATTATGCATGAAATAGACCAGTCTCGTTCCTTACATCTTCAGACATGTCATCCTCTCCTGCGGAAAAGGTGCTGTCCATCCTCATTTTCGGGAAAGGCAGGGACATTCTCCTTGAATCCCTGGAAGCCACGGAGTCTCCCCAAGTTCCTAGTCCTAAGATAGAGACGTCTCCAGATATCCTCCTTGCACGCTCCTTCTCCATCTCGCGTTGTTGTTTCTCAAAGTCCTTTTGCATCCTGTGAGGTGAAATATTTTATGTGAGTACATAGTGTATGTATGTGTGTGTGTTGTGTGTTTATCCACTCTCACATGAAATCAGTAGAGATTATCATATTAAAAAATGTCTTTCCATAAGCCCACAAAATTGTATACATACTGAACCATAACGTTATAGCGCTGTATCTTCCAAACCAGTATGAAAATAAGAAGAGCCAGCGCGGTGACACTTGCAGCCACTACCCAAGTATCCCACTCCCCTCTTCCTTCAATGGGTGCCTCGACACACACCTGGATAGAGTATTTAGAAGATGTTGCATGAGGCATACATGTAAGAAGGACCTTTTCGTGTTGGATGATGAGTTACCTATTTTTGTTTAGGATGAAGATTTAGAATTTTACCTTTGAAAACTCTGAAGAAAGTTCCTCAAGTTCCTAATTTCTATGAAGGTTTTATTGATTAGAATTGAAATAACTTGAGTGAAAATGTTGCATTTGCTTAATACCATTGAGAGGGAAGTGATACTAAATACAAAATGAGAAATCACTTATTGAAACAAGCTACTGTAACTAATTAAATATACCAACCCAAAAACTTAGTTTTGACCA